CCCCCCGCACACACCATGGTGGGGAGAGGAGTGGGGCTGAGCGCATGGCTCCCAGCACCTGCCTCCTCCCCCAGGTAAGGCTCCAGCCCTGCCTGCCCTGCCCTCCACCTGGGTGTGGAGGCTCCTGCGGAGTGAGCAAGTGTGTGGCAGGACAGGAGTTGATGTCTCATGCCCAGCCTCCCTGACAGCTTGGGAGGAGCAGCCCTCCTCCAGCCATCCTTGTGGATCAGCTGCTTCCCTCCCTGTCCATGTGGGATGGGGAAATGGTTCAGAGTTTCCTGACCCGTTCAGAGCAGGAGTCCCTGTAGCAGAGTGTGTGCAGGGACATGGACTGATGGCTGACCCACGGGATGAGCAGAACTTGTGCTGGGCCAGGGTTGGTGCATTGCTTTCCCTTGGCTCCTTCCCTTCCTCACTGGGAGACAAAACCTGTGAGATCTGGGAGTCTTGGATGTGCCAGTTTTGTAGAGTGCTGTGTTCTGCTTGGAGCAATGGGATGTTGAGGGCCATGCTGTGCCCTCACACAGCAGTAGGAAAGGAGTATGCCTCAGTGTAAAGGCAGGAGGTCCTGGGTGCTGAGGGTCTGTCCTGCAATGGATAGGGCTGTTGTGCTTTTGGGACTCCTTTCTGGAGGGTGGGAGGGAAGGAAGGTAGAACTAGTAGGTGGTTCAGTCCTTTGCTTCACCGAGTTGTTCTCCTTATGCAGGGTCCCAGGTGCCCGGGCGGGATCCCAGCAGCACGGCTGCGGCCACAGAGGGCAGGCACCAGCCTCCCAGTACAAACTGCTTTGGCAGCAGACCAAGGTAAGGTCCCACACTGTGTGTCCATTATTGAGGGATTGCTGCAGCCGGGAAGTGTCTAGACTGTCCTTGTGAAGTGTAGCCACTCCAGATCTCCCAGTGAGTCACCTGCCATGCAGCCCATGGGAGCTGTGGAGCAGGGGTGGCCTATCCTGGGGGACAGCAGAGCTGGGGGGTACCAGGGGTGATGGTACAGCCAGGCTATGGCTGGCCTGAGCCTCTCTCAAAGTGTTTGTCTCTCAAGGAATATCAGGTCTGTGATGGTCCAGAGAGTTTCCACCAGTGGCTCCACTGGCAGTCAAAGGAATGGTGCATCTGGGATTGGGGTGGGCTCTGACCAGGCAAACCAGCCAAGGGGTGGTCTGTAGAGGTCCCTTCAAATGTGGATCATGGGGAGCTGAACTCTTCCCTTGAGCACAGCCCTGCCAGGCACTGGGCCAGGCTGGGAAGCACAATGCCCCTCCGGGCAATGGTCACAGGGGGATGCTTCCGAAGGTCCAGGGAGAGCAGGAGAAGCAGAGCTGCAGGGAAATAACAGCTGCTTCCAAAGGAAATGAGCTGCTTGGGCAGCAGGCCATCCTATGCCTGGCTCCGTGCCCTGCCCTGCCTCCTCACTGGGCTGGAGTGGCTCAGCGTTGCTCCTTTTGGAGCTGTGGTTATTGAGAGACGTGTCACACTGTCAACATGGAGTTGAATTTAACACCTGTTTATATTTCCAGAGTGTGGCAGTGGCCCAGCTGCCTGTACAGATGTTCTGGGTAGGAGTGTGGCTGTGGAGAGGGCTCCTGCAGCCTACCCGTGGGACGTTCTGTGTGCCCCAGGTTCAGGAGCACTCTCAGCTACAAGCCCTGTACCTCAGACCCTTCTGCTGCTCTTCATCTCCTGGGCACACACCAGAGATGATATTTTTGGCTCAGAAAGTGACCCTGTCCTTCCATGTTGTGTGTTCATCTCCCACCAGAGGAGGGAGAGGGAAGGGAAATTGAGAGCAGATCATGAACACAGTTTGTGCCCTTTTGTGGTGGCTCTTTGCTGTCCGTGTGGTAAAGCCGTCTCGGAGGTGGAAAAGTGCTCAGTGACCTGACAGGACTGGACTTGGCAGGCACTTAGCAGCTCTCTGTAGGTGCTAGAAAACCTGCAAAGAAAGTTCTAGTTCGGGAAGCTCAGCCTGGTCACTGCTGTCCATTCCCTGCTGCTTTCTGATTAGTTTCTGCCTCTGGTGTCACCTCAAGTGCGGTGAGGTCTGGCCCAGGACTTCTGCAGAGCACCTTCAGACACCTGCCAGGTGTGCCTCCAGCCATTCCAATCCTGTGGCTGCACTGGCATGGGAAATATCTGAGCTAGTTCCCAATCCATGCAACACTCACCTGAATTTAGGTTTCTGCACGTACCTGGTTGATACAGTACTGCTCCATGTGGCAGAGCACTGCTGTACATACCCACCATGGAGGCAGCTGCCTTCTCCAGGGTGGAATACGGGTCCCTTGCACTTGGGAATGCTGTTTGATGGTTGCTGTGTTTATACACAGAGCTGTGTTTATTTTCTTGGGCTTGGTGATGGATGCTGGCAAACTTGCTTGCTGGCAGGATGGGAAGAAAAGGGTCATTCTTTGCTCCTTAGCTATTTCTACACTGTCCCCTCAAGGCAAACTGCTTGGTCAGGGCTTCTCTTTCTTCTCCTGAACAAATGTCATCTTGGGATTTGCTGCTAGTCTTGGTGGTGGAGTGTGAAATTCCACAGCCCTCTGTGCAGGGAGAAAGCAGAGCCCAGAGGTGCCCAGCCAAGAGTGGGTGCCACATCCCCCATTTGGCTTGTGGAGGCCCTGGCAAAGACTGCCAAGAAAAGCTGTGGCTGCCCCATCTCTGGAAGTGTTCCAGGCCAGGCTGGATGGGGCTTGGAGCAACCTGGGCTAGTGGGTAGGGGCAGGAAGTCAGACGAGGTGGACTTTAAGGTCCTTTCAGCCCAAACCGTTCTATGATTCTCTCGTTTGGGTGCTGGGGGATGTGGCTGCCTCCTCCCTCTTGGCAGAGACAGGGGGAATTTCTCAACTCTGTGTTTTGGGACATGAGCTCTCACTGTCCATATGGCACCTCATGGTTGTTTCCCAGTGGTCGTGCCCTGACTCCCCATGCCAGCGCTGCCTCCTGGCTGTGTGCTCTGCCCTCTCTCCTCTTGAAACATTTTGGGGTCTCATGTGCTGCGTGAGACCGAGACATGCTGCCACCTCTGCTGGCATCTCATGCTGGGACCTTCTGGCCACCTCAGCTGGAAGAACTGCCCATTCCTGGGTTTCATGGCCAGGGTTCATGTTGGCCACTGTGGCATGGGGACTCCTCCTTGGTGGAGGAGCTGAAAGGTTGTTGTCACCTGACTGATGCCACTTTCCTCTTTGGCATCATCTGCCCCAGCCCAGGAGGAGGACCGCAGTCAATGGGGGACAGCAGTGGTCTTGTGCCCCAGGTGTGAGGGAGGCTGCCCCCAACACACTCCATCCCACCATCTGTTCCCATCTGTGCTCTGCCTAGTTATCTCCCTGCTCCTATTTTAAGCTCAGGTTCCCATCCCACCGTGGCCCTGCTGGGTTTGTTTCCAGCGTCTATTAAAAGACAATGCCCAGATGGGAGCAGCCGTAGGAGGGCTGGGCTGAGCTGGCTAATTCAGGCCTGGTCACCCTGTGCTGCCAGCTGCCAGCCTGGAAACATCCTGTTTGGGTTTCTAAAAACTCCCTGGGCAGCTCTGAGCTCATCTGTGCTGAGAAGGGCAGGGACCAAATCCATCCCGTGCCGCAGGGGCCGCACCCAGTGGGACCAGCTGGTGCCACCTGCCTGATCCCCTCCGGCAACAGCTTGGGGTCTGCACCATGAGGTGACTGTGGGGAGGTGGGTGCCAGTGTACCCTGCTGAGCCTGGGCAGTGAGGGGCCATCTTCACCTCCTGGGGGGAAGAGGAGCCTGTTCTGCACCTGCAGATGCACCATGTCCCTAGGTGCTGGTGAGCAAAGCAATCCCTCAGCACAGAGTGTCCCCAGGGGTAGCAGGGGAGGTGTCTGGGGTGAGTTCACTGTCTGAGGAGCCTCTGTGGGGTTGTGCTCTTGGGAGGATCCATGGCTGGTTGAAATAGCCTTGGCAGCTCCTGCTCTGCCTGTGGCTCTTATCTGATCTATTTTCAACAACCATCTCCTGCTTTCCCATGTCTCTGACCGATCCCAGCCCTCCTGTGAGCTGCTCCCTAAGGAGAGTGGCTCTGGAGCAAGTGGGAGGAACCAAGGACACGCTGGAGCTGGTGAGGGTGGCATGACTGATGCTGTGCCCTGTGGCTGCCAAGCTGAAAAAAACGCCAGCCCTGGGACTTTAGGGACAGTTTGTGGGTTTTGCCCTTTCAAGGGCAGATTCTGGCTGGGGCAAACTGACGTCCACATCCCTGTGGTCCTCACCCTCTGTGGTCGCTGCCCTGGGCTGCCAGCCTGGGTGGAGGTGCCTGGGCTCCGCTTCTGCTCCCCAGGCTCCCTGGATTTGGGAAGGCAGCATTCCCCCTCCTGCCCTGTCCCCCTGCCTGCTTGCTGTAGCGACTTATTAAGGTGAATCACAGCTTTTTTGGGAAGACCTTGGAGGCTGAGGGTGGTCCTCGGGGGAGAGTTTGCTGGGGGGAACTGCAGACACTCTGCCTATGGGGGTGGGGCTGTCTTGACCACAGGGACACGGTGACAAGGGAGCTCTAATGTGAAACAGAGCCCCCCGAGTGATGGAGCTGCTGCACCTGAGCTGGTCACTACCTGTGCTGTGATTTAAACTCCCATTTTCCCTGTCTACTTGTTCCTTCCTTTTTTGGAGGCCATGGTTGTCCTAGCAGCTATGAATACTTGCACCTTCCTCACCTGCTTCTGTGCAAGTCTGGAGGCACCAGTGAGGGTCCCCACCATGGTGCAGGAGCTGAGGCTGGTGTGGGATCTCCCCTGGGATCTGCAAGGATGGATGGAACAAGCTGCTGGGAGCTGTGACATCTCAGGGCTGTGAGCAGGTGTCTGGGCATGAGTGTCCAGGGCCACTACTTGGCACATGGGGTGAGTCCCTGTGAACAAAAGCAAGGGGTTGTCACCCTGGTGACTCCTTGTTAGGGTTTGGTAGGAGCTC